GTCAGACCCTACGCTGGTGCAGTGGGTCCTGGGTTCCTCCTGGTGCGGTGGGTCCTGGGTTTCTCCTGGTGCGGTGGGTCCTGGGTTCCTCCTGGTGCGGTGGGTCCTGGGTTCCTCCTGGTGCGGTGGCTCCTGGGTTCCTCCTGGTGCGGGGGGTCCTGGGTTCCTCCTGGTGCGGGGGGTCCTGGGTTCCTCCTGGTGCCGGGGGTCCTGGGTTCCTCCTGGTGCACGACAATGCCCGGCCTCATGTGGGGGGAGTATGCAAGCAGTTCCTGGAGGATGAAGGAGTTGATACCATTGAATGGCCCCCACGCTCACCTGACCTAAATCCAATAGAACTCCTCTGGGATGTCATGTTTCGGTCCATCCAACGCACCCAGGTTGCCCCTCAGACTATCCAGGAGCTCAGTGATGTCCTGGTCCAGATCTGGGAGGAAGTCCCCCAGGACACCATCCGTGGTCTCATTAGGATCCTCCCCCGACGTTGTCAGGCATGCATACAAGCACGTGGGGGCCACAGACACTACTGAGGACCATTCTGAGTTGCTGCAATGACATTTCAGCCAAATGGACTCGCCTGCTGCATCATTTCTTCACTTTGATTTTCAGGGTGTCTTTGAATTCAGTCCTCTGTAGGGCGATCATTTCCATCAAACGATGGGGCGTCCTTATGTTCCTCACCCATCCCCCGTCCATGTCAGTATGGAGATCCAGCAGGAGATTCCTCCCCATTGAGACCTGATGGGTTTCCAAAGTCTTCCTTTCATTTTTTTTTTTTGAGCCGTGTATTATGTGTTCCTTGCTCAAGGAACCCCTAACAACTTCTGGAGGAACCTCTGGGTTCCGTGAAATCCTGGCTGAGAAAGGCGGTCTTTTTTTTTTTTTTTTGTGATTTCCCTTCATTTCCTGTCCCAGAGCCAAAACAGGAACTGAGAGGAAATCCCTCCAAAGTGAGAGGAATCTCTGGTCGTCACCAGGACGAGTGCCCCCCCCCCGCATTGGATGATCTCTCCTCTAGTCCTGTTCTGGTGACAATGCAAAATTTAGGATAGAGAGGGCGAATCTCTGTAACGGGGGGGGGGGGGGGGGGGGGGGGGGGGGGGTCACGGATCGCAATAAAGACCTTGCAGGAGTTCTAATCCCCCACCTTTATAAGAAAAAAAAATCCCACAATTACTGGTGGACATTGACATTTTTATCCCCCCCCCCCCGTGAGAAAAATGCATGTGCGTTTTATAACGCGATTTGTTGCTGTAGAGCGGCGTGAAAGTACACCGGTTCTGGCTTTGAATTCGCACCACTTAGAAACCGCAGGTCAGCGCGATTTAGGTGCGCATTTTCGTGGTTTTCTGTAAACAGATGCGACAAAATGGCAGAAAACTTTTTTCTGAGTCGCAACGATTTGCTGCAAATGGGGGGCAACTTTTTTTTTTAAATAGAAACCATCAAATCGCACGACGGATCTCATTGCTGTATACCTGGGCTAAAGGACCTGAAGTTTGTCCGGTATTGGATTCCTGCAGGTCCTGTACAGCAGGGCTCAGACCGGGGTAGGGAGAACAGGGGCGGACTGACAACTCATGAGCCCCTGGGCAATAAGGGATCATGGGGCCCCTGTGTTCTTGCCCACACTCAAAAAAGCCTATAAAAAAAGTACCAGGGTCATTTCATGGGGCCCCCTACTGACCCCGGGCCCTTAGGCAGTGCTCGAATGGTCAGTCCGCCCCTGGGGGGGAAGAAGTGCAAATAGCCAATCGGTAGCGCTGCAGTGGAAGATGCATGCTGATAGGAGAGGACAGAGTGATGGCGAGCTCGTTGCTGCGCTGCTTCTTGTTTCACTGTCCAATCGCAGCCTGAGGACAGAACCTGCAAGTGAAAGTGAAACTGCAAAAAAAAAAAGAAAAACAGGTTTCAGCTATTAAAGAAAGAAGCTTTCAGGACCCTTCCTTTTATTTTCTTCGGGTTCATCCGGTTGTATAAAGCGTGGAAGAGGCAAGACTGGAAGTTTGCAGCTTTATTAACTCAACTAAACTGTGCAAACGACCATAGAAATGAATGAACAGCGCCGCCATGATGCGGTTGGCAAACGCAGCGCGGAAGTGACGTACGCTGGTTGGCGCCGCAGCGTGCGCCGTCCCCTCCCATTGGTTGAATCCCCTTCCTAGATTGGTGCCCGGTGCTGCGATTGGTCCGTTCCGCGCTCGTTGTTTCAGGCCTGCTCCTCCAGACTCGCTCAGTCGCCGGTCGATCGCACGGACAGCGGCACCAACATGAGCCTGGCGGAGTTGAGGGCGCCGAGGAAGACGGCGGGGAACCGCATGTCCGGCCTGCTGGGGCGGGAGGAGGAGGACGAGTTCTATAAGACCACCTACGGCGGCTTCAATGAGGTGGGGGGGGGAGCTGGGCCCTGAACCGGTGTGTTGTTATATATACCACATAGGGGGAGGCCTTGTAGCTGGGGCTGAGATGTCACTTCCGGGAAGGGGAGGGGCTACTGAGTGCCTGACACCCTCACAGGCTTTGTGCTCAGAGATGTGACCGTAGACGTCTCCTTTCTTCCATCGGGAAGTCGTTTCTCTCCTTCGTTCTGCAGGAAAGCCCCGTCTGGCTCGCCAATACGTAAAGCGGAGGTTTCCTTTAAATGTGAACTCCGGGCAAACCGGTAATGAGGAATACAATTTGTAACTCTGTGCAGGCAGCCTTGCGGTCTTCACAGGTCCCTGACCTCTCCTGTAGAACAGTCTAACCTGGTGTAGGACACGCCTGGGCCAAAGGAACTGAATTCCGTCCGGTATCTGCTTCTTGTAGTTCCTGTACAGCAGGGCTCAGACTGCAGTGGGGAGAAGCAGCGCAAGGAGCCAGTCGGTAGCCCTGCAGTGACAGAAGCATGCTGATAGGAGGAGAGGGCAGAGTGACGGCGAGAGGCGCTTGTCACTGCTCTGATTCTTCTCTCACTGTCAAATCGCAGGCACTCTCTCAACATTTTTAGTATTTTATTCCCTATGCTGCTAATAGTAGTAAATAGATAGGACAGTATATTATATTTACTTGTTTTTAACTGTTTTTTTTTCTCATTTCTCTAGTCTCTTCCTGGTTTCTGGCCTAGGCAAATGTGTCATACATCCCAGGAGTTTTCAGGAGGGGTTTTCTCAGCTAAGCACACTGCCTGCATGCCTGAGCTGAGGGCAGATGGATTCTGTGAAGTAAACGCTACGTGAATCATCTGCCCTTACTCAAGATGGCCGCAGCTAGAAATGGTGGGGTGGGGGGGTTGCATTTCTTTACATCCTGGTTTTTGGCCTAGGCAAATGTGTCATACATCCCAGGAGTTTTCAGGAGGGGTTTTCTTAGCTAAGCACACTGCCTGCACGCCTGAGCTGAGGGCAGATGGATTCAGTAAACACTACACGAATCATCTTCCATTACTCAAGATGGCCGCAGCTAGAAATGCTGGGGGTGGGGTTTGCATTTCCTGGTTTCTGGCCTAGAAAAAATAATGTCTTACATTCCGGAAGTTTTCAGGAGGGGAGGAAGGGTTTTCTCAGCTAAGCCCACTGCCTGCACACCTGAGCTGAGGGCAGATGGATTCTGTGAAGTAAACGCTACATGAATCGCCTGCCCTTACTAAAGATGGCCACAGCTAGAAATGCTGGGGTGGAGGGGGTGGGTTTTATTTCTTTGCATTTCTTTAGTCACTTCCTGGTTTCTGGCCTAGAAAAATGATGTCATACATCCCAGAGGTTTTCAGGAGGGTAGGAGGGGTTTTCTCAGCTAAGCACATCCTCCTGCCTGCACGCCTGAGCTGAGGGCAGATGGATTCTGTGAAGTAAATGCTACATGAATCGCCTGCCCTTACTCAAGATGGCCACAGCTAGCAATGCAGGGGTGTGTGGTTTTTTTTTTCTATTGCATTTGTTTAGTCACTTCCTGGTTTCTGGCCTAGAAAAATGATGTCCTACATCCCAGAAGTTTTCAGGAGGGGTTTTCTCAGCCTAAGCACACCCTTCTGCCTGCACGCGTGAGCTGAGGGCAGATGGATTCTGTGAAGTAAATGCTACATGAATCGCCTGCCCTTACTAAAGATGGCCACAGCTAGAAATGCTGGGGCGGGGGTTTTTTTTTTTTTTGCATTTCTTTAGTCACTTCCTGTTTCTGGTTTAGGTAAATGCCATCATACGTTCAAGAAGTTTTCAGGAGGGGTTTTCTCAGCTAAGCACACCCTCCTGCCTGCACGCCTGAGCTGAGTGCAGATGGATTCCAGGAAGTAAATGCTACTGGAATCACTTGCCCTTACTCAAGATGGCCACAGCTAGAAATGCTAGGGGGAGAGGTTAATGAACCATCAAATCGCATGACAGATCTCATTGGTGTAAACCTGGTCTAAAGGAACTGAACTTCGTCCGGTATCGGCTTCTTGCAGTTCCTGTACAGCAGGGCTCAGACTGCAGTGGGGAGAAGCAGCGCAAGGAGCCATTCGGTAGCCCTGCAGTGCAAGAAGCCCTGCCGCAGGTAGCCCAGACCTCTGTAATGTGTATTAATGACCTTCCTGTGTATCTCACCTCCATTAGGAATCCGGCGACGAGGAATATAACGAGGACCGCTCCGAGAGCGAGGATGAAGTGGACTCCGACTTTGACATCGATGAGGGGGAGGAGCCAACCAGCGACCACGAGGAGGACGAGCCGAAAAAGAAGCGCAGGGTGGTGACCAAAGCCTACAAGGTACGAGAGCCATCTGATTCCAGAGTCCCCGCCATCCATCAGAGTCGGAACAAAGAGCTGGGCTCCGCCCTTCCCTTCAGGTGTTCCGGCTCTGTCCTTCCCTTCATTTCCCCGCACACTGTGAGCTGCTCACATTAGAAGCTGCAGCACTCAGAATCTGGTGCGGCTGTGCAAGGGAGCCAATCCGCTTACAGGTTTTACTGTCAAAGCTTAACCACTCCCCATCCGGCCCATGTATATAAGCGGCCGGACGGTAGCAGTTCAGGGGCGGGTTGTCGTTCATAAACGGCGCCCGCCATTTTGGACTGTGCGCGCTCCCTGGTAGCGCGCAGCACCGTGATCCTCTGGACACAGTGGAACATCGATCGTCGTACGGGACCTCTGTGCGAGGTCCTGATCATCTGATCACTGATTGGCCAATCAGTGATCACATGAATAGGAGTAAGCAAGATGTCACTTCTGACATCATTGCTTACTACGTGTGAAATCTGTGAATGATCACAGAGATCACATGGTACAGGGCCATTCACAACAGCCTTGTACCATGTGACAAGCTGTGACCAATCACAGCTCACACAGTAGTTCTCAATGGAGGAATGCAGCCAGAGAGGAGAAGAAATGATTGCTTTTACAGCCTTTATGGGTGTAAAAGCAATCGGTGTAAAAAAAAAAAAAAAATGTTCTTTATCACTCCCCACAAGTAGTACAGGTGACACTGTACTGCCAAGGTGGCAGTATGTAAAAAAAAAAAAAAAACATAAAAAATAAAAATGTAAAGCAAAATTTTTTAAATTATAATTTTTGGTTATAAAGTAATTTGGGTTATCCTTCTTTTTTTTTTCTTTTTTTTTTTTTAACTAAAAAGATAACAATAATTTTTGGCCAAGATTTATGAAGAAAGATTATTTATTTGCAAAATTTTATAAGAAAAACACTTTTTTTTCCCAAATTTTTGGACTTTTTATGTTATATAGCAAAAAGAATAAAAATCCCAGCGGTGAATAAATACCACCAAATTAAAGCTTTATCTGTCTCAAAAAAATGCTAACACTTTGACCCCGTTCCGGTCCGGACACTTTGACCCCGTTCCGGTCCGGACACTTTGACCCCCTTCCGGTCCGGACACTTTGACCCCCTTCCGGTCCGGACACTTTGACCCCCTTCCGGTCCGGACACTTTGACCCCCTTCCGGTCCGGACACTTTGACCCCCTTCCGGTCCGGACACTTTGACCCCCTTCCGGTCCGGACACTTTGACCCCCTTCCGGTCCGGACACTTTGACCCCCTTCCGGTCCGGACACTTTGACCCCCTTCCGGTCCGGACACTTTGACCCCCTTCCGGTCCGGACACTTTGACCCGCTTCCGGTCCGGACACTTTGACCCCCTTCCGGTCCGGACACTTTGACCCCTTCCGGTCCGGACACTTTGACCCGCTTCCGGTCCGGACACTTTGACCCGCTTCCGGTCCGGACACTTTGACCCGCTTCCGACACTTTGACCCGCTTCCGGTCCGGACACTTTGACCCGCTTCCGGTCCGGACACTTTGACCCCCTTCCGGTCCGGACACTTTGACCCCTTCCGGTCCGGACACTTTGACCCGCTTCCGGACACTTTGACCCGCTTCCGGTCCGGACACTTTGACCCCCTTCCGGTCCGGACACTTTGACCCCCTTCCGGTCCGGACACTGGGATTTTTATTTTTTTTTGCTGTGTAAATGAAATGGTCCAAAAATTTTAAAAAAAAGTGTTTTTCTTATAAAAATTTTGCAAATAAATAGTATTTCATCATAAATCTTGGCCAAAATTTTATTCTGTTATCTTTTCAGTTTATAAACCAAAAATTATAATTTTTAAACATTTTTTTTTATATTATTATTATTATTTATACCATGGTGACACTGTACTACTTGTGGAAGGTGATGAATATATATATATATAATTTTTTTTTTTTTTTTTTCACACTGATTGCTTTTAACGCCCATAAAGGCTGTAAAATCAATCATTTCTCCTTCTCTCTGGATGCATTCCTGCAGCCACTGAGAAATACTGTGTGAGCTGTCACATGGTACAAGGCTGTTGTGAATGGCCCTGTACCATGTGATCTCTGTGATCATTCACAGATTTCACATGTAGTAAGCAATGATGTCAGAAGTGACATCTTGCTTACTACTCTGCATGTGATCACTGATTGGCCAGAGGTCCCGTCCAACGATCGGTATTCCCTCTGGACACGGTGGGCACCGGATCACAGTGCTGCGCGCTCAAGGGAGTGCGCACAAGCAGGGGGCCACCCGACCTTGCACTGCCACCGTCTGGCCATTTATATACATGGGCCGATGGGAAGTGGTTAATTATTGGAACTTTTGGGGAGCTGGTACCCTGAAATTGACAGGTACCCACTTCCGCTGCGATCGCCTAGGCGATCGGAAGCGGAAGTCGTCCTCCCAAACCCAACCCCCCTCCCTCCCCATAGTCTTCTGGGACACGTGACAGGTCCCAGAAGTCTACGGGGTCATTCACAAAGCGCAGCGCTTCTCGCACATGCGCATGGGCACCCCACTGTGAAGCTGCAAGCTGTCACCCACACTGAAGATGCCGGCGCCTGCAACACCAGACAGGCTGGTGAAACGGGCTGCGGGGAGACACCGCAGGATTGTGGGACAGGTTAGTGACTTTTTAAAAAGTCAGCAGCTACAGTTTTTGTATTTTTTTTTTTTTTTTTTTTTATAAATCACCCAGTGGAACTCACGCTTTAATCAGAATACTAAAAGATTACCTTGTGTTTGGAGTGGTTGGTATGTGATGTACTCCGGAGCAAAATGATTAATAGTGAAAGGTTGGTGATGAATTACATATCCTGATTTCCCTTTTCTTTTTCTTTTTTTTTTTTTCTTTTATACACCATGGCATTTGCAGGAGCCAATCAAGCTTCTTAAACCTAAACCCAAACCTTAAAGCGGATGCAGCATCAAGCAGCGCCCCCAAGAGCCGCTGAGAAGCCTCCCCCCCAGGAGACCACAGAGGACAAGTGTAGACTAGTGGAGTATGATGCCCGACGAGAGATCCACCATGAGATTCCGGCCACACTTGTGATCTCGGGGCTGCGAGACTAAAAGTGTAATGAAGCCAATAAAATGTGAACCAAATGGCTTCAATCTGCGGCGACAAAACCTTTGTAGACCCACCATCCCACCAGCACCCCTCTGTGAGCTGATTGGACATCTCACTCCTCCAAACACGTGGCCATTACCCACTTCCAACATCCCCGAAGCGTGCCAATCCTTCACGGGGGATGGGGGGGGGTATGTGAAGCCGTGTTCCCGCGACGGGTTAAAGCGATAATACTTCCCTTTCTATGGTGTGGAGTTCTGTTTTTAACACCACTTCCAGTCGGACGCTTTCTCCCCCCCCCCGCCCTTCCCAGTCGGGACGCTTTCCCCCCCCCCGCCCCCCTTCCAGTCGGGACGCTTTTCACCCCCCCCCCTCCTTCCAGTCGGGACGGCTTTCCCCCCCCCCCCACCCCCGCTTCCAGTCTCGGGGACGCTTTCCCCCCCCCACCCCTTCCAGTCGGGACGCTTTCCCCCCCCCCCTTCCAGTCGGGACGCTTTCCCCCCCCCCCCCTTCCACCCAGTCGGGACGGCTTTCCCCCCCCCCCCTTCCAGTCGGACGCTTTCCCCCCCCCCCTCCCTTCCAGTCGGACGCTTTCCCCCCCCCCCCTTCCAGTGGCGGGACGCTTTCCCCCCCCCCCCTTCCAGTCGGGACGCTTTCCCCCCCCCCCTTCCAGTCGGGACGCTTTCCCCCCCCCCCTTCCAGTCGGGACGCTTTCCCCCCCCCCCCTTCCAGTCGGGACGCTTTCCCCCCCCCCCCACTTCCAGTCGGGACGCTTTCCCCCCCCCCTTTCCAGTCGGGACGCTTTCCCCCCCCCCCCCTTCCAGTCGGGACGCTTTACCCCCCCCCCCCCCCCAGTCGGGACGCTTTCCCCCCCCCCCCTTCCAGTCGGGACGCTTTCCCCGCCCCCCCCCCTTCCAGTCGGGACGCTTTCCCCCCCCCCCCCTTCCAGTCGGGACGCTTTCCCCCCCCCCCTTCCAGTCGGGACGCTTTCCCCCCCCCCCGGATTCCAGTATCGGGACGCTTTCCCCCCCCCCCCCTTCACGTCGGGACGCTTCCCCCCCCCCCTTCCCACCCCTCCCTCCATTCGGGACCGCTTTCCCCCCCCCCCCCCCCCATCCCCTTCCAGTCGGGAATAGCTCTGATTCCCCCCCCCCCCCTTCCAGTCGGACGCTTTCCCCCCCCCCCTTTCCAGTCGGGACGCTTTCCCCCCCCCTTCCAGTCGGGACGCTTTCCCCCCCCCGCCTTCCAGTCGGGACGCTTTCCCCCCCCCCCCTTCCAGTCGGGACGCTTTTTCCCCCCCCCCTTCCAGTCGGGACGCTTTCCCCCCCCCTTCCAGTCGGGACGCTTTCCCCCCCCCCTTCCCAGTCCCGGGACGCTTTCCCCCCCCCCACCTTCCAGTCGGGACGCTTTCCCCCCCCCCCCCCTTCCAGTCGGGACGCTTTCCCCCCCCCCGGGACGCTTTCCCCCCCTTCCAGTCGGGACGCTTTCCCCCCCCCACACTTCCAGTCGGGGACGCTTTCCCCCCCCCCCCCTTCAAGTCGGGGACGCTTTCCCCCCCCCCCCTTCCAGTCGGGACGCTTCCCCCCCCCCTTCCAGTCGGGACGCTTCCCCCCCCCCCCCTTCCAGTCGGGACGCTTTCCCCCCCCCCCCTTCCATTCGGGACGCTTTCCCCCCCCCCCACCTTCCAGTCGGACGCTTTCCCCCCCCCCCTTCCAGTCGGGACGCTTTCCCCCCCCCCTTCCAGTCGGGACGCTTTCCCCCCCCCCCCTTCCAGTCGGGACGCTATCCCCCCCCCCCCCCTTCCAGTCGGGACGCTTTTCCCCCCCCTCCAGTCGGGACGCTTCCCCCCCCCTTCCAGTCGGGAACGCTTCCCCCCCCCCTTCCAGTCGGGGACGCTTTCCCCCCCCCCCTTCCAGTCGGGACGCTTTCCCCCCCCCCCCCCCTTCCAGTCGGACGCTTTCCCCCCCCCCCCTTCCAGTCGGGACGCTTTCCCCCCCCCCCCCCCCCTTCCAGTCGGGACGCTTTCCGCCCCCCCCCCACCTTCCAGTCGGGACGCTTTCCCCCCCTCCCCCTTCCAGTCGGACGGGGCTTTCCCCCCCCCCCCCCTTCCAGTCGGACGCTTTCCCCCCCCCCCCCTTCCAGTCGGGACGCTTTCCCCCCCCCCCTTCAGTCGGGACGCTTTCCCCCCCCCCACCCCTTCCAGTCGGGACACGCTTTCCCCCCCCCCCTTCCAGTCGGGACGCTTTCCCCCCCCCCCTTCCCAGTCGGTACGCTTCCCCCCCCCCTTCCAGTCGGGACGAACTTTCCCCCCCCCCCTTCCAGTCGGACGCTTTACCCCCCCCCCCCTTCCAGTCGGGACGCTTCCCCCCCCCCCCTTCCAGTCGGGACGCTTTCCCCCCCCCCCCCCCTTCCAGTCGGGACGCTTTCCCCCCCCCCCTTTCCAGTCGGGACGCTTTCCCCCCCCCCCCCCTTCCAGTCGGGGAACGCTTCCCTCCCCCCCCCTTCCAGTCGGGACGTGGCTTTCCCCCCCCCCCCCCCCTTCCAGTCGGGACGCATTCCCCCCCCCCCCCCCCTTCCAGTCGGGAGCGCTTTCCCCCCCCCCCCCTTCCAGTCGGGACGCTTTCACCCTTTCCAGTCCAGGCCAATTTTCAGATTTCAGCGCTGTCACACTTTGAATGACAATTGCGCGGTCATGCAACACTGTACCCATATGAATTTTTTTAGCATTTATTTTGAGACAGATAAAACTTTATTTTGTTGGTATTTATTCACCGCTGGGATTTTTTTTTTTTTTTTTTTGCTATATAAATGAAAAAGGCCAAGAATTTTGAAAAAAAAAAAGTGTTTTTCTTATACACTTTTGCAAATAAATAATATTTCATCATAAATCTTGGCCAAAATTGATTCCGTTATCTTTTAAGTAAAAAAAAAAAAAAAAACAAATTAGTTTATAAGCAAAAATTATAATTTTTTAAAAATTTTTTTAAAAATTTTTATTTATTTTTTATATTATTATTTATGGATTTTTTTTCCTACATGCTGTCACCCCTAACAGTAGTGCCACCACGGTGACACTGTACTACTTGTGGGGGGTGATGAAGATTTTTTTGGTTTTTTTACACTGATTGCTTTTACACCCATAAAGGCTGTAAACGCAATCACTTCTCCTTCTCTCTAGCTGCATTCTTGCAGCCATTGAGAACCACTGTGTGAGCTGTGATTGCTCACAGCTTGTCCATGGTACAGGCTGTTGTGAATGGCCCTGTACCATGTGATCTCTGTGATCATTCAAAGATTTCACATGTAGTAAGCAATGATGGCAGAAGTGACATCTTGCTTACTACTCTGCATGTGATCACTGATTGGTCAATCAGTGATCACATGATTGGGACCTCACACAGAGGTCCTGTACGACGGTCGGTGTTTCCAGTGTGTCCAGAGGACACAGCGGACACCGGATTGCGGTGCTGAGCGTTCCCAGGGAGCGTGCACAGTCCAAACTGGCGGGCGCCGTTTATGAACGGCAAACCCGCCCCTGGAGATGATAGTGCCACCGTCCGGCCGTTTATATACAGCGGCCGGACGGCAAGTGGTTAATGTGGAGTTGGCCCATCCCTTTTTGTGGCTGTAACATCCTCCATTCTTCTAGAAAGGCTTTCCACAAGAGTTTGGAGTCTGTCTTTGGGGATTTGCACGGTCAGGAACTGATGTCGGCTGAGCTCCGTACAACAGCCCACGCGTACGTCTTGCGTTCATTTTCCCTTTTCAGGTCGGAAGCAGATGCGTCAGTCCACCACCGAGCACACCCGGCAGACCTTCCTCCGCATGCAGGAGCGCCAGGTCCAGTCCCGCAAGAAGAAAGGTCCCCATCCCCGACCGGCCCCTGACGCAGGAGGAGCTACTGGAGGAAGCAAAGATCACTGAGGAGATCAACATCCGCTCACTAGGTATTGGGTCACTGATGAGTTATGTGATGGCTGCGTGTGCTCATAGGAGGAGAAACGGATTCTGCACCACAGGAGCTTACACTCTAATGTTCCATCAGTCTCATGCTATTATTATTATACATTTATATAGCTCTGACATAGACCGCAGTGCTGTACAGAGAACACTGAGCCAGTCACCAGAAGAGCTTACACTCTAATGTCCCCTCCCCCCACAGTCACATCAGTCTCTGTACCAGAGGAGCTTACAATCTAATGTCTCCCTCCCCCACAGTCACTATTATTTATTATACATGTATATAGCTCTGACATAGACCGCGGCAGGCGCTGTACAGAGAACACTGAGGCAGTCACCCCAGGAGCTTACACTCTAATGCCCCCTCCCCCACAGTCGCACACTATTATTATACATTTATATAGCTCTGACATATACCGCAGTGCTGTACAGAGAACGCTGAGCCAGTCACATCAGTCTCTGTACAGAGGAGCTTACACTCTAATGTCCCCTCCCCCGCAGTCACACCAGTCTCTGTACCAGAGGAGCTTACACTCTAATGTCTCCTCCCCCACAGTCACATCAGTCTCTGTACCAGAGGAGGTCTCTTACACTCTAATGTCCCCTCCCCACAGTCACATCAGTCTCTGTACCAGAGGAGCTTACACTCTAATGTCCCCTCCCCGCAGTCACACCAGTCTCTGTACCAGAGGAGCTTACACTCTAATGCCCCCTCCCCCACAGTCACATCAGTCTCTGTACAGAGGAGCTTACACTCTAATGTCCCCTCCCCCCACAGTCACACACTAGTATACATTTATGTAGTGCTGACATATACCGCAGTGCTGTACAGAGATCACTGAGCCAGTCACCCCAGGAGCTTACACTCTAATGTCCCCTCCCCACAGTCACATCAGTCTCTGTACAGAGGAGCTTACACTCTAATGCCCCCTCCCCCACAGTCACATCAGTCTCTGTATCAGAGGAGCTTACACTCTAATGCCCCCTCCCCCAGAGTCACACACTATTCATGAAGATATGTATAAAGCACAGATAGTGCAAATCTCACTGGGGTTCTAGCCCCCCCCCCCCACCTTTAAAGTAGTGGAGAGATTTCTCATCACATCCTGTCGCTCTGACACAGTGTCACCAAAACAGGAAGTGGGGGGGGAAATCGGCCAGCGGGCTCACGGACAGCAGTAAAATCCTGACAGCGTCTGATCCTTCCTTACTCCATGTAAAACTAAATCCAAGTTTCGGGTGGAGTTGGGGGTAAAGCTGCGGTGTTCCATTGTTTGGCGGTTCTCTAACAGCCCCTCGCTGTTGTCACGGCAGAGAATTACGAGCGCCTAGAGCCGACAAGAAGAAGCACGTGCAGAAGAAGAGGCGCTGCGTGGGGCCGACCGTTCGCTACCACTCTGCCACCATGCCGCTCATCACCGAGCTCAACGTGAAGGAGGAGAACGTGGACGTGGAGGGGTGAGTGCCCATTATAGTCCCTGCATAGAGCGCTCATTTGCATGACCACACCCCTAACATGGCCGCTCGGGTTAAACCACGCCTAAAAAAAAAAAATAATTGTTCTTTTAGGTTGGAGCATGAGCAGATGGGGGATTCCTCCACGGGGCCCCCTGCCAGCAAATGCTCCCGCACCTTCATCACCTTCTCCGACGACGAAGCCTTCGAGCGGATCTTCCCCAAAAGCAAAGCCAAGATGCCGGTCCGAGAGGTGTGTCCGGTCACCCACAAACCGGCCCAGTACCGGGACCCCATCACCGACATCCCCTATTACAACGCCCGGGGGCCTTCAAGATCATCCGCGAGGCGTACAAGAAATACATCACCGCTCACGGCCCTGCCCAACGCCGCTATGGGCCGCCGCCATGGGTCCGGCCGGCGCTGCGTCCGACGCAGGACAACGCAGCACACGGCAGAAGATCGTTATCAAACAGAGCGTTCCGGTTACATAAGGCCAAGGTGTTGTCATGGACATCTATGGGGGGGGGAGGGGCAATCGGACGACCCAAATGATCACTGGGGGACTTTTACTTTTTTTTTTGTTTTTTTTTTTTTTTACTTCGGAAATTTGAATGAAAATCTTTAAAGTAAACCCCTACATAAACCTATAAGTTATACCTTTTTATCTGCCACCATCTCTTCTCTACAGCCTCACAAAACACACAGCTTATCTCCAGAAGGCAGGGGGGCACAGCATAGGGCTGAGTGTAATCTGAGACATGAGTGGAGGGAATGGACAGGTGCCACCCACTACACAGCCTCATAGGGAAACGTGCACAGCTGATCCTGCTGTGTGTGCTGGGAAGGAGGGGGGGGTGGGGACTGTCTGCGGGGGGTTGGGCATAGGCTGTCAGTGTGAATTCTGTGTGCTCTCCCTGTCACTTCTGACAGTCCCTGCCCCCTCCCCAGCACACAGCAGATTGATTGACAAGCTCAGCTGTGCATTTTTCCCTATGAGGCTGTGTAGAGGGTGGGGTGTGTGTCCATTCCCTCCACTCAGGTCTCAGATTACACTCAGTTCTATGCTGCGCTTCCCTTCTGGAGATAAGCTGTGTGCTTTATGAGGCTGTAGAGAAGAGATGGTAGCTGATAAAGAGGTATAACTTACAGGTTTATGTAGTGTTTTACTTTGAGACTCAGGTCTCAGATTTACACTCAGCTCTATGCCATGCCTTCTGGAGCAAAGCTGTGTGCTTTATAAGGCTGTAGCGAAAGAGATGGCTGCAGAAAAAGAGGTATTTACTTTACAGGTTTATGTAGGGCTTTACTTTGAGACTCAGGTCTCAGATTACACTCAGCTCTATGCCATGCCTTCTGGAGATATGCTGTGTTGTTCTTTATGAGGCTGTAGTGTGTTCTTGCCTCAGTCCACAGTACATAGTGTGAATTCTGTCTGTTCTCTCCTGTCACTTCTATGTGCTATGGACAAAGGCAATCACAAACTATGGAAGGATATGCTTTGTTCATTTTTCATTTCAGCCCCTTTAACTTGGGAGACGGTCAGGCTGAAATGTTTTTTTGTTCCAAATTAAAATGAAAAAACATGTTACAGTGCTGCTGATCCCCAATCTTTGAGTACACTATAAATCATCACCGTGTGTAACACAATGGCTTTGTTTATAATAAACGTTACCACTGATTACTGTACGGGTTGACGTTGAGGTCACATGACCGCTATTCAATTGGGCTTCCAGGCCTGGTGAGGGCAGGGGGCGGAGACTTGCTAGGAGGATCCTCAGCTTCCATCGACATCACGTCAGGAAGCAGCTCCTGGTGGGGTGGGGGTGGGGGGAGGGGGGTGGGGGGTTGGGGGGGGGGACATGTCTACATTGCTTGAGGGTGGGGCAGTTCAATAAGCAGGGATTTTCTGAACACGCAGGATTTATATGGCAACAACAGTGTGCACAGAGCTCTTCAAAGTAATGGGAGACGGTCCACTTCAAGAGCAAGAGGGAAGGAGGGCCCTGCCCACAGGAGCTTACAATCTAAAAGCGAGAGGCAAGTGATACCAAAGGAAGTAACTGATCATTCTACGTCTTAAAGGCCGAAGTCCCAGGAATCCAGCCACTTTGTAAAAAGTGAAGGCACGCTATGAGTTAGTGTTACTAAACCTAGGACCCCGCGTTCGCTATATCCGCTCTCCCCGGACCCCGCGTTCACTATATCCGCTCTCCCCGGACCCTGCGTTCACTATATCCGCTCTCCCCGGACCCTGCGTTCACTGTATCCGCTCTCCCCGGACCCCGCGTTCACTGTATCCGCTCTCCCCGGACCTCGCGTTCACTGTATCCGCTCTCCCCGGACCCCGCGTTCACTGTATATCCGCTCTCCCCGGACCCCGCGTTCACTGTATCCGCTCTCCCCGGACCCCGCGTTCACTGTATCCGCTCTCCCCGGACCGTGCATTCACTATATGGTCTCCCCGGACCCCGCATTCACTATATCCGCTCTCCCCGGACCCCGCGTTCACTATATCCGCTCTCCCGGACCCCGCATTCACTATTTCCGCTCTCCCCGACCCCGCGTTCACTGTATCCGCTCTCCCCGGACCCTGCATTCACTATATCCGGTATCCCCGGACCCTGCATTCACTATATCTGGTCTCCTCAGACCCGGCATTCACTATATCCGCTCTCCCTGGACCCCGCATTCACTATATCCGTCTCCCCGAACCCTGCATTTTACTATATCCGCTCTCCCCCCGGACCGCGCATTCACTATATCCGCTCTCCCCGGACCCTGCGTTCACTGTATCCGCTCTCCCCGGACCGTGCATTCACTATATCTGGTTCTCCTCCGACCCCGCATTCACTATATCTGGTCTCCCTGGACCCCGCATTCACTATATCTGGTCTCCCCGGACCCTGCATTCACTATATCCGCTCTCCCTGGACCCCGCATTCACTATATCCGCTCTCCCGGGACCCCGCATTCACTATATCTGGTCTCCCTGGACCCCGCATTCACTATATCTGGTCTCCCTGGACCCCGCATTCACTATATCTGGTCTCCCCGGACCCTGCATTTACTATATCCGCTCTCCCCGAACCCCGCATTCACTATATCCGCTCTCCCCCGGACCCTATATTTACTATATCCGCTCTCCCCGAACCCTGCATTCACTATATATCCGCTCTCCCCGGACCCTGCATTCACTATATCTGGTCTCCCAGGACCCTGCATTCACTATATCCGCTCTCCCCGGACCCCGCATTCACTATATCCGCTCTCCCCGGACCCTGCATTCACTATATCTGGTCTCCCCAGACCCTGCATTCACTATATACCGCTCTCCCCCTGGACCCGCATTCACTATATCCGGTCTCCCCGAACCCCGCATTCACTATATCCGCTCTCCCCCGGACCCTGCATTCACTATATCTGGTCTCCCCAGACCCTGCATTCACTATATTCCGCTCTTCCCGGACTCCGCGTTCACTATATCCGCTCTTCCCGGACCCCGCGTTCACTATATCCGCTCTCCCTGGACCCCTTGCATTCACTATATCTGGTCTCCCTGGACCCCGCATTCACTATGTCCGCTCTCCTCGGACCCCGCATTCACTATATCCGCTCTCCCCGGACCCCGCATTCACTGTATCCGCTCTCCCCGGACCCTGCATTTACTATATCTGGTCCCTCAGACCCGGCATTCACTATATCTGGTCTCCCCAGACCCCGCATTCACTAATATCCGCTCTCCCCGGACCCTATATTTACTATATCCGCTCTCCCCCGAACCCCGCATTCACTATATCCGCTCTCCCTGGACCCTGCATTCACTATATCTGGTCTCCCTGGACCCCGCATTCACTATATCCGCTCTCCCCCGGACCCTGCATTCACTGTATCCGCTCTCCCCGGACCATGCATTCACTATATCTGGTCTCCCAGGACCCTGCATTCACTATATCCGCTCTCCCCGGACCCCGCATTTCACTATATCCGCTCTCCCCGGACCCCGCATTCACTGTATCCGCTCTCCCCGGACCCTGCGTTTACTGTATCCGCTCTCCCCGGACCGTGCATTCACTATAATGGTCTCCTCAGACCCCGCATTCACTATATCTGGTCTCCCCGGACCCCGCATTCACTATATCTGGTCTCCCCAGACCCTGCATTCACTATATCCGCTCTCCCTGGACCCCGCATTCACTATGTCCGCTCTCCCCGGACCCTGCATTTACTATATCCGCTCTCCCCCCGAACCCCGCATTCACTATATCTGGTCTCCCCGGACCCCGCGTTCACTATATCCGCTCTTCCCGGACCCCCGCGTTCACTATATCCGCTCTTCCCGGACCCCGCGTTCACTATATCCGCTCTCCCTGGACCCTGCATTCACTATATCTGGTCTCCCTGGACCCCGCATTCACTATATCCGCTCTCCCTGGACCCTGCATTCACTGTATCCGTTCTCCCCGGACCGTGCATTCACTATATCTGGTCTCCCAGGACCCTGCATTCACTATATATCCGCTCTCCCCGGACCCTGCATTCACTATGTCCGCTCTCCCCGGACCCCGCATTCACTATATCCGCTCTCCCCGGACCCCGCATTCACTGTATCCGCTCTCCCCGGACCCTGCATTCACTATATCTGGTCTCCTCAGACCCCGCATTCACTATATCTGGTCTCCCCGGACCCTGCATTCACTATATCTGGTCTCCTCAGACCCGGCATTCACTATATCTGGTCTCCCCAGACCCCGCATTCACTATATCCGCTCTCCCCGGACCCCGCATTCACTATATCCGCTCTCCCTGGACCCTGCATTCACTATATCCGCTCTCCCTGGACCCTGCATTCACTATATCCGCTCTCCCCGGACCGTGCATTCACTATATCCGCTCTCCCCGGACTCCGCATTCACTATATCTGGTCTCCTCAGACCCCGCATTCACTATATCTGGTCTCCCCGGACCCCGCATTCACTATATCTGGTCTCCCCGGACCCTGCATTCACTATATCCGCTCTCCCTGGACCCCGCATTTACTATATCCGCTCTCCCCCGGACCCCGCATTCACTATATCTGGTCTCCCCGGACCCCGCGTTCACTATATCCGCTCTTCCCGGACCCCGCGTTCACTATATCCGCTCTCCCTGGACCCTGCATTCACTATATCTGGTCTCCCTGGACCCCGCATTCACTATATCCGCTCTCCCCGGACCTGCATTCACTGTATTCGCTCTCCCCGGACCGTGCATTCATATATCCGCTCTCCCCGGACCCCGCATTCACTATATCCGCTCTCCCCGGACCCTGCATTCACTATGTCCGCTCTCCCCGGACCCCGCATTCACTATATCCGCTCTCCCCGGACCCCGCATTCACTGTATCCGCTCTCCCCCGGACCCTGCATTCACTATATCTGGTCTCCTCAGACCCCGCATTCACTATATCTGGTCTCCCCGGACCCTGCATTCACTATATCTGGTCTCCTCAGACCCGGCATTCACTATATCTGGTCTCCCCAGACCCCGCATTCACTATATCCGCTCTCCCCGGACCCCGCATTTCATTCACTATATCCGCTCTCCCCTGGACCCTGCATTCACTATATCCGCTCTCTCCTGGACCCTGCATTCACTATATCCGCTCTCCCCCGGACCCTGCGTTCACTGTATCCGCTCTCCCCGGACCGTGCATTCACTATATCCGCTCTCCCCGGATCCGCATTCACTATATCTGGTCTCCTCAGACCCTGCATTCACTATATCTGGTCTCCCCCGGACCCCGCATTCACTATATCTGGTCTCCCCGGACCCTGCATTCACTATATATCCGCTCTCCCTGGACCCCGCATTTACTATATCCGCTCTCCCCGGACCCCGCATTCACTATTTCTGGTCTCCCGGACCCCGCGTTCACTATATCCGCTCTTCCCGGACCCCGCGTTCACTATATCCGCTCTCCCTGGACCCTGCATTCACTATATCTGGTCTCCCTGGACCCCGCATTCACTATATCCGCTCTCCCCGGACCCTGCATTCACTGTATCCACTCTCCCCGGACCGTGCATTCACTATATCCGCTCTCCCCGGACCCCGCATTCACTATATCCGCTCTCCCCGGACCCTGCATTCACTATTTCCGCTCTCCCCGGACCCCATGTTCACTATTTCCGCTCTCCCCGTACCCCGCGTTCACTATTTCCGCTCTCCCCGGACCCGCGTTCACTATATCCGCTCTCCCCGGACCCCGCATTCACTATATCCGGTCTCCCCGGACCCTGCATTTACTATATCCGCTCTCCCCGGACCCCGCATTCACTATATCTGGTCTCCCGGACCCCGTGTTCACTATATCTGGTCTCCCCGGACCCCGCATTCACTATATCCGCTCTCCCCGGACCCTGCATTCACTATATCTGGTCTCCCCGGACCCCGCGTTCACTGTATCCGCTCTCCCCGGACCCCGCATTCACTATATCCGCTCTCCCCGGACCCTGCATTCACTATATCTGGTCCCCCGGGGACCCCGCGTTCACTGTATCCGCTCTCCCCGGACCCCGCATTCACACTATATCCGCTCTCCCCGGACCCTGCATTCACTATATCTGGTCTCCCCGGACCCCGCGTTCACTGTATCCGCTCTCCACGGACCCTGCATTCACTATATATCCGCTCTCCCCGGACCCTGCATTCACTATATCTGGTCTCCCCGGACCCCGCATTCACTGTATCCGCTCTCCCCGGACCCCGCATTCACTATATCTGGTCTCCCCGGACCCCGTATTCACTATATCCGCTCTCCCCGGACCCCGCATTCACTATATCTGGTCTCCCCGGACCCTGCATTCACTATATCTGGTCTCCCCGGACCCCGCATTCACTATATCCGCTCTCCCCGAACCCCCGCATTCACTATATCCGCTCTCCCCGGACCCTGCATTCACTATATCCTCTCTCCCCGGACCCCCTGCATTCACTATATCTGGTCTCCCCGGACCCCGCATTCACTATATCTGGTCTCCCCGGACCCTGCATTCATTATATCCGCTCTCCCCGGACCCTGCATTCACTATATCCACTCTCCCCCGGACCCTGCATTCACATTCACTATATCCGCTCTCCCCGGACCCCGCATTCACTATATCTGGTCTCCCCGGACCCTGCATTCATTATATCCGCTCTCCCCGGACCCTGCATTCACTATATCCGCTCTCCCCGGACCCCGCATTCAATATATCCGCTCTCCCCGGACCCCGCATTCAATATATCCGCTCTTCTTTGTTTCTATTATAAAATTTTGCAAACAGGTAATTTTTCTCCTTCACTGATGTGCATTGATGAGGCTGCAGTGATAGGCGGCACTGATGGGTACTAATAGGAGGCACTGATTATGCTGCACTGATATGCAACAATGATGGGCACTGATAGGCGGTACGGATAGGCGGCGCTGATGAGGTGACAAGGATAGGCAGCACTGGTGAGGTGGCAAGGATAGGCAGCACTGATGGGCACTGATAGGCAGCACTGATGGGTACTGATAAGCAGCACTGCTGAGGTGGCAAGGATAGGCAGCACTGGTGAGGTGGCAAGGATAGGCAGCACTGACGGGTACTGATAGGAGGCACTGATGATGCTGGACTGATCTGCAACAATGATGGGCACTGATGAGGTGGCAAGGATAGGCAGCACTGATAGGCACTGATGAGGTGGCACGGATAGGCAGCACTGATATGCAACAATGATGGGCACGGACTGGCGGCACTGTTGGGCAGCACTGATGGGTGGCACTGCTGGGCACTGATCATCAGTTGTGGCGAACTGAAGTGGGAGTGGGTAGCTGTCTAAACCAGGTACCTGCTCCTATCCAAAAGGTGCCAAATGTGGCAGCAGAGGTGGGGGAGGAGGCTTTTGCTGTTGGGTGGAACTCTGCTTTAATGTAAATGGGCCCTGAAGGT